ACCTGCTGGCGATCGTGCCACAGGCGCCGGCGCCGGCGCTGGGAACCCTAGATCATCTGATTCGCTGAAAATTTGTTTCCAAGGGTAGTACCCCCTCCTGAACCCGAATATCGGATCCGTTCGGCTCAAAACTCCTAGGTGCCGCGCCACAGGCGCCAATGCCACAATACATTAAATCCTGCGCCGGTGGCGTGGGCCAAGAGGGATTGTGCGGAGGATAAGATATGCGTTTTCTGTAGGTCAAACTACCCCAGAAAGCAACATTTGAGCCAAGTCTGTCCTCGGAGAAAAATGTCGGTCACAAACTGGCTCAATTCCGGATGATTGGGGCAGTAAAGGGTAAATAGCGCCGCTGCAGCAGTAGATAAGGAAAGCTGTCCTGGTTGCGCTCCGATCCAGGCCCTTTCAGGGGTCTGCTCGTTTTCACATGTGACTGTGAGTAGATGTGACAGACGAAGACGATTCAAATGTAACTTTTCCAGAACTCACTTTTTTTACAAGAGTTTCCAAAAGACATTACTCCTATCACTGTGTTTTGATTCATACTGTTCATTTGGAATAGAGGGCCACCGCTGTCGCCCTGAAGATAAACTTGATCAAATTCCTCTACTAACAACTGGTCTATCACACGTCGCAGCGAGAAGTACTTACTCCGCAAATTCCCTTTCCAGGAACCATTTTCACTTTTATGTAACTGTGTAATACTCGATATCGTCCAGAGAATGTGACCTGCACTACCTGATGGCCTATTGGTTTCAGTTCGAATCCGTCGAGCCTTTGTCTCAGGTCGGGTGGCCCTGGAAGAATTCGACTCGTACCGATGTGGACAGGATTCATTATGCTACACCTTGGGGCAGCCTCAGCGCGAGATAATGACAGAATCCCGTTGGCGCTTGAGACCTGCTTATTACGTTCAAGATGGCGTGTACCCGTGCTAGCACACGCGAAAACCCCTCTTTCGGCGAATCATGTGCTCTCGTGTTTCGCTGCGGGACTTCGGTATTAGAGAAAATGGCATGCTGTTGTAGGTGTGGACCCATTCACCTCAGACATAGCAAGCACCATCTTCGGTTTTCTTCGAATTGCGATACCGTTGCCAACGACAGGGTCAGCTTACGATATCCTCGCTCATAAGAAGTAGAGATGCACGTGAACATACACTAAATATCGTCGCAATCCAATTGGGCAGCGCCAAGAGGCATGGATGAGCTCACTTATACTCCGGTTTCTTCCACTTGGCCGATTGTGATGGAAAACACCCGGCATCAGAAAGCATCGTAGTAGGCCTCACCCTACGCCTCTTAACCCGGCGGGATTAGAACAATAACAAGTACATAACAGAAGCGTGGCGTTGCGGTCGATTTTCTCTCGCCCTTGTGCGAGCAGCACTTTTGCCTTTTGCCCAACGTTTATCTGGTCACCCGCTGAGAGACCTGCATCCCCAAATCGTAACATGCTGAAAATCCTGAGCAGCTTCATAGAGGATTTCAAGATCGCTACACGTTTCAGTCGGTTCGAGTCTCTCAGTCGTTCAGGCCCTGGAGCGAGGGAGTCAAAATATCCTTTCTCATATCAATAATCCTTTCATTCTATAAACCAGTAACTTTGTGTGTCGGTTTGTATGTTTGTATGTATGTAGGTTTGTAGGTATGTGTATGTTTGTCTGTCCGTCCGCAAAATACTTCACGGGTTCGAGTTCGCTGGAGGCGAAAACGACCGCTAGGCAAACCGGTAACCGACTGGGAGGATGTAGCAGTCCAATGATTTGATTGTGATAACAGCCTCCGCTATATAAGACAACCATTCGGTACACTCCGAGCCATTGCACGAGCTGCTGGCGTGGCAGCTGGACGTGTGCTCGTGCGGGGCAGGGTGGGGGTACCGGGTCGCCCTGCCTCCCTCTCCTGCACGTGCTCAGCCGGAGCTGAGCACGTGTATGGGAGGGAGGCAGAGGGGAGGGGCCCCGAAGGGGGTGCAGGGGAGGGGTGCGTAGCGCGCGCTTGAGTAGAAACGCGCAGCAAAGGAGGAGGGAACCGATAAGAAAACCGCAGGCTAATCCATGTTACCGTTACGCATTGAAAAGTTGTTTTGGTCATAATAACACTTTCCACTATATAAGAGGACCACCACACTCCGAGCCATTGCACGGGTTTCTCGTGTGGTAGTTGTAGTGAGCGCGCGCAAGGGGCAAGATGGGGAGGGGAGTGGCGAGTATGGAAAGGGATGAGGTGAGGAAGGTGGGAGTGGGTACCGAGTGACCTCTTCTCCTGTTCTCCTCCCTTGCGTGTGCTCAGTCGGATTTGAGCCCATACAGGGAGGGGAGGCAGAGGGATTGGATCGGGCAAACTGGGTACAGTAAGGGTACGCTTGGATAGGAGCAGGCGGCAAGATAGAAGGAAAGAACCGCTAGCAAAACTGCAAGCTAATCCATGTTACAGCAACGAACTAGGAAGCTGTTTGGATTGTGAATCGCTCCCCTATCTAAGCCAACCACTGTGATAGACTCTGTGCTATTGCAGGAGCTGCTCGCTTGGGAGCTGGACGTGAGCACGAGCAAGGCGGTGGTAAGAACAGTGGCGGCGTAGTGTCCCTATGTTGCACCAGCTGCTCACGTGGCGGCTGCATACCACGTGCGGGAGTGGGCGCCAGTTAAATAGGGTCAGTGGGATATGATGTGGTGAGGGGGATACCAGATGAGAACGGCGATTTCGCGATTAGGAGCACATAGCGCCTGCGGCGGTAAGGCGTCTACGGTTGCGATAAGATGAGAAGAAAATGGATCGACCGCAATCGGAACTGAACCGATTAATGTTGCATTATCAAATTGTGGTAGCGTTTTGATAGTCATAACACCCTCCACAACATAACACAACCATTTAGTGCACTCAGAACCATTGCACGGGCTATTCGCGTAGCAGCTGAGCGTGACCTGTAGGGTGGCTGAGCGGGGAATAGCTGAGGTTAGTTTGGGGATAGGTGAGGTGAAGGGGTACCATATTGGCGCGACCGACGCTCGCCTGAACAGGAGCACGCAGCGACTGCGGAGACCGAAGCATCCTTGGCTGTCATAAGATGGGGAGGAGAGTAATCGATTATCCATGACCAGATTTTGAACTTTTCATTATGAAAGTGCCCTGCGATCATATGGCGCGTTTCTACATTCATTTGATTAGAAGACAGCGGTTAGTCACGACTCTAAAGCAGTTGCATGAGCCCGGCGAAGCCGGGCTTCCAAGAAGGAGGAGAGCTCGGCGTTAGCCGGGCGATCCGACTGGTATATTAATATGAGAAAGGATATTTTGACTTCCTTCAATATTCCTTACATTCTATAAACCAGTAACTTTGTGTGTCGGTTTGTATGTTTGTATGTATGTATGTATGTCTGTCCGTCCGCAAAATGCTTCACGGGTTCGAGTTCGCTGGAGGAGAAAACGACCGCTAGGCAAACCGGTAACCGATTGGTGCGATGTATCAATCCAATGTTTTGATTGTGATAACAGCCTCCGCTATATAAGACAACCATTCGGTACACTCCGAGCCATTGCACGAGCCGTGGCAGCTGGACGTGTGCTCGTGCGGGGGCAGGGTGGGGTGGAGCCGAGGGCCCTCTCCCTCTCTGCTTCCCTCTCCTGCACATGCTCAGCCGGAACTGAGCACGTGCAAGGGAAGGATGCAGAGTCGGGCGAGGCTGGAACACTGGGGCGTTTGTTCCAAGGTATGATATAGGCTATGGCACAGGAATATTATCTGAGTGACAAAACTGCTAGCTGCTGATAAGATTTGAGAAGGGGAGTTAGAATGGGAAGTTCAGTCAAATGCTGGGGCCTCTACAGCAGGAAATCATAGAGTTTAAGTGATAGCGGGAGTGATGACGGCTGACAAGCAATTTTATCATAAGAAAAGATAAGGGGACAGTCTACGGCATCTGTGGCCATTACACCCAAGTCATAAATTCTTGGTAAGCAAACTTTTCCTTTAGTCATCACTTCTCTGATAGCCCTAGAAATGAACTCATTCCATCCCCACTATCCTACTTTATACAATGTCGATGCGATGTCGACGAGCAAGGGGGGAGGGGGTTATGTAGTTTGCCTGAAACAGGAAACTCAGGAAAATCGATGAGCACCGGGAACCTGAATAATGTACCACTTTATGCGTTCAATAGCTTTTTTTATTTTCAAACTTTCATTTACTGATGAGAACGGATAACGTTCATCGGTAGGCATTTCGGTGTAGGTAATGGAAACAGAATTGTTCTTCTACTGAGCGGTTCATATTGCTATGTATTTATCGACTGCACTTTGTATCTATATCTTTAGATCTATGTATTGTATGGGCGTTATTACGCGTACCGCAAATATAAGCGTGTGCTAGGCTAAGGGGTGCAGAATCCGCAGAGTTGCTACATGTTTTACGATTCGCTCATTTGCTGAGCAGCCCAGTAATTGAAAGAGTTCCGTTTTCATTATGGAGCGGCCTGGCGAAGCCAGGCCAGCTCGGCGAAGCCGAGCTAAAGAGAAGGAGGAGAACTCGGCGTCAGCCGGGCGATCCGACTGGTCAGCATAAAATGTGTAAGAACCCTGAAAAGACCCCATCAAGGCGAATCACAACAGCCACGCCAGTGTTAAAAGGAGGTCGGTCATGGACCAAAGAGATGTAGGCCATAATCCGGGAGCTTTCAACGAATTTATCCACTCCTTGCTTCACTGGTCTGTGGGTGGACACCAACAAATTTATATTTGGTCGTCACTGCCCACGACTTGAGATAGGATCGTGCCTTTCAGTAAGAACATTTCCAACCAGATCAGTGCGATCGTTCAGTGGCGGTCGCCGTTCGCTTCATTAATTGCAGCAGGAGCTTCGCCAAGCTTCGCTGTCGTTAGCAGCGACATTTCGCGCATTCTGTGGGAAACGTTGCACATCTGTCATTATTAGTGCGCCACACATAACTAAATTATTCTCTTCTGAGTCTTAATTTTTTATTTGAGATCTGTCACTTTTTAGTCAGCAGTCTCATTGGCACGAAACTTTTCTGTACTTAGATCGTGCATTTCGACCCCCTTTTTCTGTACATTTGCCTCTGTATCAAAGTGGAACAGTGAAGTGATTTGACATACTGAAACGTACGCATACCTCTCCATCCAGATCCTGCGGCTTTAAGGTCGTCAGAAATCGTCTCTTCTCTATCCGGTAAACATATGGGTGTAGCCCAGTGACGGGGAACGTTTTTAGTTAGTTCGAGGACTGCTATATCATCTTCTGAGGTACATGCATCGTAGTCCTCATGGTAGTGCACCTGGAAGTACTTATGGACTGCGAAAAGAGCCAATGGAATCTGTCAAAGACTAAAGAGTCTACTTGAGCAACCCTCAACCGCGGTATCCGGCATCTATGTGGATCACTACATCTGCTGCCGACGAAGACCTGATACGCACCGGTTTTGAGCCGGTGAGTGTTTCTGAAAAAAATGTAGGTAGGTGAGGAACGGATTTCAGAATTGATCCTGAAGCTCAATCATTAACCTGTAGCCCATCCTCGAGCACTTTTCCCTCGAATAAACCTTTTTCGATTTCTTATAAAGCAAGCAATGAGCTGCAGTCAAAATATGACGTGGCGAGATCAATACTCCACTGCATTTAGAATCTGTAATCATGAGTATCTACTGGCGCTATCAAACTCTTCAGGGAGGAGGGGGGGGGGATGGAAGAGGCAAGCGCTTGCACGGCTGTGCGCTGTATTGCATGTGAATGAGAGGTGGTCAAGGCAAGCGTAGGTTGCTGCGCCGTTGCACGCGGCTCATTATGTGGCAATGAGCTTCTTTTTCATCGAGCAATATTAGCTTGTCGATTGGATCAGTGGACTCAATGAATATTACGACGCACACACTTGTGGCTATTTCCAGTTTCATTCGCCTCTTTCAGACGCGGCGTCAGAGTCACTCTCACCAGCGCGACGAATCACGATCCTCTTGTCACATTCCCACTCTGAGCTTTGGCTAGGGGAAGGAACTCCAACGCGTCGTGTGCTCCACCCTGCTCCTTTTCTCCAGACTAAAATTTTTTATTATCATTCGGTAAAGTACGCTTCGCATCGTCAGTTGAACAGTCTTTACGGAATCAATGCATATGTTACATTAAGTGGGGCAAGGCTTCAACACCAACTATATTATCTGATGCACTACGTCTTAAAAGCCGGGAAGGTGACTGAAGGCTCCTTTGCTGCTCGCATAATCTGTCAATCTGGTGAACAAACAAGACAGGGAAGCCCTAACGTGTGCATCTGCGGCCTCCAGATATCCATTTTAATGAGTTCGTTTTGATAGTGGATGAAAGTGAAGTCCGCTCGCTTACGTGGAGTCACTGGGAACTGCTCGCTTGTGCAAGCTGAGCTAACCACGAAAATGAAGGCATATGAAAGTTCTGAGTGACGAAACAATCATGCCGCGCGTTTCATGCTTGTGTGATAATGCTACATGATTTCCGACACCGTGTCGCGTGCTTCTTCAACATTCTCACAGTGCACCATTTCGAACTCCTCGTGTGGAACTAGATTCGCCTTAATGTAGATAAGAATTCTCCTTAAAGACACATAGTACGCTCACACACATTGAGGGTGTATGAGACTATCAGCCCCCAGCTGTCGATGTGTCGTGGTCCCCCCGCCCAAACATGCCCAGGAATGGAGATACAGGACCGTGAAACACGCTAATTCCTCCATGCTCCGCCTTACACCTTTTGCGGCGCAGATTCCCGTCCTTCATAACATCCGTTGCAAGCGCGCGTGTCGCGTGCGGCTCCTTGGCACTTTGCCAAGTCCTTTAATTGCGCTTTCAAATACGTAAAACGCAATTTCCTGATGCGGATAACATTGGAGGTGCTGCAAAATAAGAACAGAAGATGATGACGAGGGTCAGAACTAAAAGCAACTGAGCCGCATATTTCCACGAAACATGAAAATAAAACGGCATACTCGTTAGTTTGATACAAGCAAAACGCAATTTCCTGATGCGAATAAAATTTTAGGTGTTGCTCATGCTTCAAAATCCATGTACAAGGAGATGAAGATGACACAGGCTAGAAATGAAGCACAACGATGTAAATGTAAATAAAACAAAAATGAAAAAATCAAGGAAAGGCAAATTAGTTGAAATCGCCTGTAAATTTCTACGATCCGGCGCGAATCCGGCGCCAAAGCCATAGAAATACTTAGAATAAACGAGTGGGACGCTTGGATTGTTTTTATTCTCATGTTTTCTGGGAATGCGCGGCCTCTGATGGATTCTGCGGATGCAGCCGAGTTGCTCTTGAGTTCTGGCCCTTGTCATCATCTTCTGCTCTTATTTTGTAGCAACTCCAGTGTTATTCGCATCAGGACA